CAGGGAGAGACCACAGACCTCTCCACACAGAGCCAGGGAGAGACCACTGACCTCTCCACACAGGCACGGTACAACTTCATCCGAAGCATGGCCGCCTACAGCCTCCTGCTGTTCCTGCTGCAGATCAAGGACAGGCACAATGGCAACATCATGCTGGACAAGAAGGGGCACATCATCCACATCGGTAAGCAGGTTGTGCCAGTGTACCCTCCCCTTGCCCAGTGCAGAGAGCAGGCCTACCCAAAGCCACGGTGTTATAATACCATAGAGGTGGCTGGCCAGGAAGCTGAGAATAGAACAGCAGCCCACACTCTTGGTAGAAGTGAGCGCTAGGGAAATGCCTCTGCTCTGACCTGACACTCCTCTGCCTCTTTCCCATGTGTGGCTGAGTCCTTTTCCACCAGCGGTAAACCACCCTGACCTAACCACGCCCCAGTTCAGGCAGCTGTGTGTGATTTTGCAGACTTTGGCTTCATGTTTGAAAGCTCACCGGGCGGCAACCTTGGCTGGGAACCAGACATCAAGCTGACAGACGAGATGGTGATGATTATGGGGGGCAAGATGGAAGCCACACCCTTCAAGTGGTTCATGGAGATGTGTGTCCGAGGTTATCTGGCTGTGCGGTGAGCCCGTGGGCTGTGGAAGGGATATCCAGGTGGGAAAGGAAACTCGGGCCCCTGCAGGGAACCAGGCTGAGTGGCACTGAAAAGGTCAGCTCTCACATCCAGTGGCTAAAACACCTGTAACTCCAGCTCCTCGAGCTCCACTGCTCACTCTGGCCTCTGAAGCACCTGTACATATGTAGGCAAACATGCGCACACATAAAAATAATTTTTGTTTCAGGACATGGTCTCACTATATAGCTCTGGCTGTCCTGGAACCACTATGTAGACAAGGCTATAGAGATAGCTTGGCCACCAAAGGCTAGGCACACAACCAAAGACTTATAAGGGCCTTGCACTGTGGTCACCCATCTCACCTGTGTGATCAACTTCACACTCTGAACCTCCAGCCACACCCTCTAGTCTCCCACTGCTGACCCTGTCATGCCCAGCACCCTTCCCTCCCTCTGGGCTTCCTGGCTAGCCTTTCACCGTAACTCCAGCACCACCAAGGCTGTGAGAGAGACTGGCATCAACCAAATGTCACACCAAACATCATCTTTGAAACCACTGCTGGAGGCCTGGCCTAGTGGGGAGGGTCATCAGCCATACAGAGCTGTCTGCGGTCCTGCAAGCAGGCTGTACGGGGAAGTGGCAGCTGGACCACAGGACTGTGAGCAGGGTGCCTCACACTGGTTGTTCTCCACCCTCTGTCTCCACAGCCCCTATATGGATGCAGTTGTCTCCCTGGTTACACTCATGTTGGACACAGGCCTGCCCTGTTTCCGTGGCCAGACAATCAAACTTTTGAAGTAGGTACCATTTGGGGAAGAGTTGTCCATCTGCTGGAGCTCTACCTAGAAATGTTTTATGCATCCTTGGATCCCCAGAGCAGACAGGGTTTTTAGAATAGCCATATGGCTGGCCATGAGCTCCCCACGTGACCTAGTAGTTGCTGACAAGGGTCAGGGAACACACTAGACTACAGCAGAACGTCCCTCAGCGGGACCAGTTCCCACAAACGCCTCCTTTCGTCTCTGCCCAGACACAGGTTCAGCCCGAACATGACAGAGCGGGAAGCCGCAAACTTTATCATGAAGGTCATCCAGAACTGTTTCCTCAGCAACAGGCAAGTCACTCCCTGTCCCTGGGTCCCTGTTCCCCAAGAAGGTGGGGAGAGCTCCCAACAATGAGTCTTTACTTTCCTTGCTTGACCTTGCAGGAGCCGGACCTACGACATGATCCAGTACTACCAGAATGACATCCCCTACTAAGGAGACTGGCACCTGAAACCTTGAGTGTCACAGAGCTCATACTGTTACCGTAGGCCTGGCTGTGGGAGTGACAGGCACGTGGAGCGTTGATGCACAGGTGTCTTTTTCACACTGGACACATTCCCTATCTGTTCACCTGTCTTGCTACATTGGTACATGAAGTATTTTCTTGTGTAAACATGAAAAATTGACATGAAAAAAATAAAAATCCCAAAATGTGCTGCTTTTGTTTTGTTAGGTAACTAAAAATTTGTCCTATAGTTAAAGGTGCCCTTTGAATTCCTGATCCTTCTAAGTCATACCTAGCTTAAGTATTCTTGTTTTGGTTTTGGTACTGAGGCTCAAACCCAGGGCCTATGCATGCTGGGCAGGCATCCTCATCACTAGCTGTAGGCCAGCCTATGACTGTTGGGATTAATGCCCCATCCAAACAGGAGTCTTCTCCAAAGAGGGGACTTTGCTAAGCCGGTCTTTGCCTCCACGTCTGAAGGCCCTGTATAGATGTGGCTTCAAACAGTAAAGTTTTACATTGGAGCAGGGTCTACAGTTCAGTGGTTACAGCACTTGCTTGGCGTGCACAAGGCCCATCCCCAGTAGCCCCCCAAATATCAGTCAGTAGATGGGACTGGAAGCAGGAGGCGTGATGAGACTGAGAAAGCAAAAGTGAGAGGCCAGAGCAGCCACACTGGGACCCTGGCACCACTCTCAGCCTACCTTTGTTTGCTTTTTGTTTGGTTTTTCTAGACAGGGTTTCTCTGTGCAGCCCTGACTATCCTGGAACTCACTCTGGATACCAGGCTGGCCTCAAACTCACAAAAATTTACCTGCCTCTGGCCTCTGCCTGAGTGCTAGGATTAAAGGTGCATGCCACCACTGACCAGCTAGTTTTGGCTTTTTGTAAGATTGTTTCTGTGTATGTGTGAGTGTCTACATGTAGTTTGTGCGCTATGACTTTGGTGGTTTGAATAGGTCTGGTGCCCATAGACTCATTTGTTTGAATGCTTGGCCATAGGAAGTGGCTCTATTAGGAGGTGTGGCCTTGTCAGAAGTGTGTCACTCTAGGGGTGGGCTCTGAGGTCTCAAATGCTCAACCTGCTCACTGTGGCACAGAATCTCCTGCTATCTGTGAATCAAGATTCACAGCTCTTTCTCCAGCTCTGTAGGAGGAGCTAATGTGGGAGGAGTTAGGAGAGGAAGAGGAGGAGTAAGGAGGAGAGGAGGAAAAGGAAGAAGAGCTAGGAGAGGAGGGGGGGAGAGAGAGAGAGAGACAGAGAGGAGGAGGAAGAGGAAGAGGTGGATGTTCACATGTCTGTAGCAGTCAAAGGTAGTTGGTATACCAAGGTTGGGTATTGGGTTACACTTCTGATTGTATGGGTATCTTGTTACTGATCATTATCAAATATATAAGCCTTTGATTAATCTTTAAGCATTAGAGTCTCATTTTTCTACTGGGCCCACGTGGATGGCGGGATGGTCTGGGCAATGCCCAGCCTTGCGGAGACAGCATGGAAGATTGGCAGAGCCATCTCCCACTCTGGCACCTTGTGGGTGGCAGGGCTAGTGATTCTGGCTGGCCTGTTCTAGCTGCTGCACGCACGTGGCCTCTGGCCATGGAACATGGCGCTGAGCTAGGCAGAGCTGCCGCAGCTTAGATAGATAGTTGGCTTGACCTGAGGCTGAGTTTAAATAATTACAACAACACAGCTCCGTGTCTGCCTGGACACTGCCATGCTCCCACCATGATGATAATGGACTGAACCTCTGAACCTGTAAGCCAGCCCCAATTAAATGTTGTCCTTTATAAGCGTTGCCTTGGTGTTGGTCATGGTGTCTATTCACAGCAATGAAACCCTAAGAAAGACAATGACCACACCTGGTGCTCGGTTAGGGAACAAGGGGGCATCTGATTCCCTGAAACAGGAGTTACAGGATGTTGTCAAACACCTTATGTGAATACTGGAAATTGACCACCTAGTTTTCCTGAGCTGACTAACTCACACCTGTCTCTACCTCCCCAACAAGGGGTTACTGACATTACCACTATACCTGGCTTTTTTACATAGGTTCTTGGGATTGGACTCAGGTCCCTGTGCTTGCAAGGCAGTGAGAGACACCAATGCATACAACTGATAGGCTACTGCATGCTACAGACTCTTAACCACAGGTGCTTTCTCCAAATTTAACAGACCACTCCAAGGTACTTTACAGACCACTTTGTTAGGCCATTAAGGGAATCTCCAATAAACCTAACAGAAAAGCTTAGATGTTTAGATGCTGTGATTATATATTAGCATTCACAATCATTGAGCTGAGTTCAATCCCCAGAACATAAGCCACCCTCATGCCTGTAATCCACTCAGGAGCAGGAAGATAGGTCAAGGTCACTCAGCTACATTCTGAGTTCAAAGCTGGGATGAGACCCCACACACACTTGTAAATAAGTAGTCTAGAGCTCATTTGTGCAGGCTCAAAATTCAACCCAGATTCATTTCCAATCAGCAGGGCATTTCTCATATACAGCATGTTCCCCACAAAGCCCACAGCGGCAAGAATAAACTGCCCGGTGTGTTCAGATGCTGTGAGGAAGGTATAGAGAACTCGAACCTGCCCAAGAGGGAATCCCAAAGCTCAGGCTCAAAATGGCAGACAACCCCCTGGAGCCCCACCGCTGACAGGTACCCCCTGCGCTTAGGTGACAGAGGGTCACGGCCCATCAGAACACACAAACTTCACCCCCGCTTTCACACAGGCAGGCACCCCAGAAAACACACAGAGGAGACAGAGGTCCAGGTGGCCGAAGCCGGCATGATGCACTCTCTAGGCAGGCAGCAGTCCGCGTACACGCAGCTCAAGCAAGGGCGACAGAGTGTAGCGCAGCCGGCGGAAGACCGCATCAGAGCCGAGACTCTGGAGCCCCGGGCCGACGGCGTCAAGCTTCGCCAGCACCACGTAGATCAGCAGCAGCACCAGGAAACCCAGCGGGAGCAGCAGCAGCGTCTGCAGCGCGCTCAGGGCCCACAGCCTGCAGAACCACCAACGGGGCAGGTGGGTGGTGGCTCTGGGAACCGGAATCCGGACCACCCGGCCCCTACTAGCCACTCACCTGAGGCTCCCCGCGCCCGCGCCGCCGAACAGCCGCTTTTCCTGCAGAGAAAGGGCTGCGTCCAGCCTTTTGTCTGAGCAGCCGCTAGGCTCTAGCCAAATCTCGTAGCGGGCAGGTCCCAGCTCCAGCCCGCGCTCCCCAGCCCACGCTCACGCAGTCAGCCCTGGCCACTTCCTCCATGAGTGAGCCCGCGCAGTCCTGCACCCGACGAGGCTGTGAGTTCCACCTGCAGGACAGGCGCGGAGATGGGCCACCAGGCCGGGCCTAGCGCCTTCCGACACCCTCCACGTCCCAGCCCTTACGGTTCCGAGCCACGGCGCGTAGCCTCCAGCGCAGCTGCTGCCTCCATCACCTTCCCCTGCAGCTCCTGAGGGTTGGCAACAGGGATTCAGGGCAGAGGATGAGCTAAGTCGGGAGTCAGGGAGTAAGAAAAAAGGGTTGAGGCCACAGGGCATTCGGAAGAGAACGGCGGTCAGAACCGAGGGGTCGCACCTGCAGGATTCCACTTTGCTCCTGGAAGCTGGCCCAGGCCTCTTCCGTCCGCTGCACACCCTAGAAGCCAGGGGCTTGGTATGAGCATCCCGAGGACAGGCCCTCCCCACACGCTCTTCCTTGAGAGTCCAGCGCCTTACGCACCTGCCGCAGGTCCTCTGCCTGCATGCTGAATTTGGCCTCTGCCAGCTCCAGATGTTTCTTCGGGAGGATTCAAGTGATGTCAAGAACCTGAAGGCCTCGCACACCTCTGGGCCTCGAGCCTCGGTCCCAGGCCCTCAAGGCTGATACTCCACCCATATATACACGCAGACCCGCCCACAGCCCGGCCCTGGTCCCATCCAAGTACCTGCAGCGCCACAAGCTGAGTCCCAAGTTGCTGCTCCGTCCGCTGTTGACTTAGCTGTTCCCCTCCATAGTAGAAAAGCTAGGGGCCAAACTCGTGAGTGTCTGGCTCAAGGGACTTGGGGACCAGGGCATAACCTGAGACACTGCACGTACCTGGCTGGACAGTTCCTCCCACTGTTCCTGCAGCTTCCGATTCTGTTGCTCCTGCGAACATGGTCCAGGCTGTCTAAGCCTCTCCTCCAGCCTAGCCACCCCGGGCCCGCCTCTTGCTCTTGCCCGCACCAGGTCCTGCCGGTGCTGCTCCGCGGCCTCCAGCAGCCCACGAGCACGCTCTGCACGCTCCCGCGCCGCCTCGCGAGCCTCCCCTCGAATAGCTCGTGACGCTTGACTTCGTCTCCGCTGCAGGCTACACGGTGGGGACGGGAAATTGGTCTGAGGTCCCACTGCCTGGAGCAAGACCGACACCAAGCCTGTCCGGGGCCTCGGTGCCCTCGCACCTGCGCTCGCGCTCCCGCAGCTCATCCAGGCGCCTGGTGAGACTCTCGCTCTCGGCTTCCAGCCCACGCACCAGCTCCTCCAGCTCCTGCTTCCGCAGGCGGCCATCTCGAATGTCCTTCTGCAGCTGCAGCAGCTGCTCCTGCGGCTCAGCCATGGCTCCAGAGCTCTGCTCGGACCTCCACCGCCTGGGTGACCTGTTGGCCTGCGGCCCGCGTCACAATGGGCAGCAGAGGGCGCCGGAGCTTGATGGAGACAGGTCACGCCCGACCAATTCAGGTAAACAAAGCTGGGCTTGGTTGCCCACAACTGTAATTCTATCTCTTGGGGATGTGAGGGACACGAAGGTCAGGAGTTCAGGGTCATCCTTTGCTACATACAGAGTTTGAAGCTAGCCAAGGCTACATGCGGACCTGTCTCAAAAAAACAAAAAACAAAAAACACACACACACACAAACACAACAAAAATATCACAGTCCCGATCTGACTGGTAAAAAGTTACTAAGGTTCTAAGGAAGGGCCGAACTTGATGGTTCGTGCCTTGTAATCCCAGAATACTAGAGGCCGAGGCAAGAAGATCACCTAGAGTTCAAGGTCAGCCTAGCTGTACAACAAGAAGACCCTGACTCAGAAGAAAACAAAGTTGAACTACCACAGTAACTGTAGTTATGGGCTAAATCAGGTATGCTTTACCTTAGATTCTGAGTGACCAGGGAGTTCTAAATTTTTTGAAAAAAATGTTTAAAATTAAAACTTTTAATTTTTTTCTCCTCCATTTGTTGCAATAATGGTAACTTTGGTATGGTCTCAGTAGCTGGACTTAACCTGGCAGTGCCTTGCTGAGTGGAGGTGAAGGGTGAATAGGAGGATCTGGGTACTAGAATGGCCTGATAGTCTCTTTTCTCTGGGTTTTTAGCTCTAGAAAACCTTTGATGGGGCTTGTGTGGTATGATAGGAAAGGGAGGGATGTCGTTTTGTGATCTGGGGGTTGTGTTAGCACGGGGGTCTCACCCTGCAGCCAGCCTGGTCTTGACTCAAGCCTTCACCCTCCCTAGAAACCTTCACACTCTGCCACTCTGCTTAATACCCCCCCCCCTCTCTCTCTCTCTCTCTCTCTCTCTCTCTCTCTCTCTCTCTCGTGTGTGTGTGTGTGTGTGTGTGTGTGTGGTGTGTATACCACATGTGTGCAAATGCCTCAGGAGGACATCAGATCCCTTGAAGTTGGAATTCCAGCAGTTGTGAGCCACTTATGTGAGTGACAGGAGCTAAAGTCAGTGTTCTGGAAGAGCAGCAAGTGCTCTTAGCTACGCGCTGGGACTTTTTACATTCCATGCTGATATAATCTCTCTAAAGATTTTAAGAAGCTAATTTATTTCATAATTTGGAGGATATACTTTCCTGATGCTGTAATAAACCATTGTAGCTTCATTAAGGAGGCTGAGGCAGGAATTCTGCTGCAAGTTCAAAGCCAGCCTATGCTATACAGTGAGGCTTTGTCTCAAACAACAACCCCCACAAAAGAAAAAAACAAAACAAACAAACAAAAAAAAATGAGTACTTTTTGTTACCAGTGGGCTGGGATATTGGTCAGAAGAATCCCTGCACACACAAGGTTCAATTCCCAGTATCACACACAGATACATCAATTATTTATTTACAGGAGGGGCTATGGGGTTTGATCGCTCTGGCTACGCTGTAGTTTAGTGATGGGGGCGGGGGCGGTGCTGTCAGCACAACTCCAGACTCCAGTGCTGCCTCATCTCAGCTATACAGAGTTCAAAGCTCCAGGTCTCTAAAACTCTTCTGGTTCCAGTAATCTGGGAAAAGGGTTTTTTGTTGTTGTTGTTGTTTTTTGGGGTTTTTTTGTTTGTTTTTGTTTTTTTTGAGACAGGGTTTCTCTGTGTAGTCCTGGCTGTCCTGGAGCTCACTCTGTAGACCAGGCTGGCCTCGAACTCAGAAATCCACCTGCCTCTGCCTCCCAAGTGCCGGGATTAAAGGCGTGCGCCACCACCGCCTGGCCTGGGAGAAGGTTTGAACACTTGATTTTTATATTTTCTGTGCTGGAGATGGAGACAAACCTCCTAGACAAGTCTTCTCTTTCTGAGACATGCACCTCTCTGTGCTTTTCCTCTTCACAGGCTGTTCCCACGAGACTCTCCCTCAGCTAGTGCCCACTCTGCAGGCCTTCCTTCCCTCCGCTGGCTGGCCTTTGACCACTTCCTTCATAATCCACCCAGCTCACCTGCAGCTTCCTTACTGAGTTTTGGTAATCTAGGGTTCTGTTACCTTGGAGACAGGGTCTCACGTTGCTCATACTGGCCTGAAACTCAACCGTGTAGCCAAAGATGACTTGGAATTCCTTACTCTCCCACGTCCACTGCCGAGTGCTGAGATCATAAGCTGCACCTCTGGAGTTGGCCTTTTTCTTATGGTCAAATGTGTTGCTTTTAAAATAAAACAAAAATAAGGTTCTTGCTAAGTAGCCTTGGCTAGCTTGTAGGCCATGTCGGCCTCCAAACTGTGGCAATCTTGTCTCTGTGTACAAAAGTTTGTACCACCATCCCTGGGTAAAATCTGGCAGAAGAAAACACTGTATTATATAAAAAGGTGGCCACTGGGACAAGACAGAGAAACAAACTTAAGACATGGGAAGGAGCTGGGTGGTGGTGGCGCACGCCTTTAATCCCAGCACTTGGGAAGCAGAAGCAGGCAGATTTCTGAGTTCGAGAGTTCGAGGCTAGCCTGGTCTACAGAGTGAGTTCCAGGACAGCCAGGGCTACACAGAGAAACCCTGTCTTGAAAAACCAAAAAAAAAAAAAAAAAAAAAGACATGGGAAGGAAAGGAACCTCCCCATCCTGAAATCTCTCGCCTGCAGTCAACATTTGCTGAGGAGGCTCTAGACACACAAGTAAATAAGCCCTTCATTGATCGATACTGAGTGCTAATGTAACAATGAACTAGGCCTATGTGATATGTGTGACCTTGGGTGGGCATCCAACTCTCAAAAATGTGCGCATGTCCAAGAACATACACAGGAGAGACTCAGGCATCACCATTAGCTCTGCTTCCTGTCTCATCAGCAGTGGCGCTGTCAAGAGCCCCTCTGAAAACACCCTGTGATCTCAGAGGATCTCAGGTTCCTTGGGCCAGCCTTTGAAGATAACTTCAAATCCTACCTGTGACCATTGTAAGGAATGACATTTGACACTATCTTAAAAGCCATTGTGTAACAGTTTCCTTAGAGAAGTTTCTCAAGACTCAAAGTTCTAAAGGGAAGCTGTTAAGACACAGGAAGTCAAGGGAGGTGGGGAGGTGGTGACACACACCTTATATTCCAGAGCTTGGGAGGCAGAGGCAAGTGAATCTCTGAGTAAGTTCTACAGGGTAAATTCCAAGATAGCCAGGGCTACATAGAGAAATTCTGCCTGGAAAAAACCAAACCAAACCAAACAAACAAAAGACCCAGGAAGTCCTTGAAGCTGATCAGGTTCATGAGACCCTTCCTTCCTCAAGGTTACATGGGTAGTAAGTCCTGCTGAGATAGAGACCAGCCAGGCTACCTACAAGAGGTTCAGACTTGGTTTCCTAGAAGATACTCTTACACCTGTTGAGCTGTCCTCAGGCTGTGTGGCACACTCCAGGTTCCTACTTTCATGAGCTGTTACTCATGCCAGGGTGGGCTTTCGGAGGTGCAGCTGTCTTTGAGTCACTTATGTTCCTTTTAGGTAACCCAAATAAACTCCCTGGTTCACTACCTGCTTCAACACGTCGGGCTTCAATGGTGTCCACACTTTGGTTTAAAGTCATCAGGTCCCTGAGGTCAGAAGACATTTGTTTGTCTCACTCACATGCAGCTCTGTCTTTTTATTTGAGGAACAAGCACATCTATGCTCTGGGCTGAGTTGTCCCTTATGAGCACCCTGATTTTATCTTACCTTCATGCTTAAAGTCTGTATTCATTACTGTAATTAGGCCAGTGATGTGCTCAGGAAGACCAGCCCCTCTCTGTAGAAATCCAAGAAGCTGAGTTCAATCTATAGACCACAGTGAAAGGGAAGAACTCTCAAGAGTTGTCCTCTGGCATCTACACATGGAAACCATGGCACATGTGTGCCGCACCCCCAACATCAAAGACACACAAGAACAGTAAGTTTCATTTTATTTAGTTTTTATGTGTATGCGTTTTATCAACATGTGCATGCACCATGTGTGTGCAGGAAGCCAGAAGAGGGCATCAGATCCCCTAAAGTGAATTACAGATGGCTTTGAGCTGTGGGTGCTGGGAATCCAACCAAATCCTCTAGGAAAGTGCTCTTAACTGCTGAGCCATCTTTCCAGCCCCTAGATGTTTAGTAAATCTTCAACTCTCCTTCACACTGACCAATGCTGTGATACTCTTCTGTGTCAAAGCCTTGAGTCTATGGCCTGAGCTGAGGTCCCTAAAAGATGAATGGACACTCCTCAGGCTGCTACATGTGACAGCAACAAGCTGTGGCCCAACTCGCTGATAACAGCTGCACAAAATAACAGACACTGGGGACTCAGGTGGCTTGCCCTATACAGGTACCTTGTCCACAGCATAGGTAGAACTTGTCTTGGCGCCGGGCGGTGGTGGCGCACGCCTTTAATCCCAGCACTTGGGAGGCAGAGGCAGGCGGATTTCTGAGTTCGAGGCCAGCCTGGTCTACAGAGTGAGTTCCAGGACAGCCAGGGCTACACAGAGAAACCCTGTCTCGAAAAACAAAAAAAAAAAAAAAAACAAAAAAAAAAAGAACTTGTCTTGGCTTTGTCCTGGCTGCGAATTCAGGCCACAAATACCTTATATACAATCACACAGACAGGTTGTGAAATACTGCATGCTGCTGGCCAGATGTGGACCCAGGCGCTCTCTCTCTCTCTCTCTCTCTCTCTCTCTCTCTCTCTCTCTCTCTCAGGAAGAGGTTTGAGGTTTTCTCCCTGCTACCAAGGGACCACCTCCTGCCTTGGAAGGAATCAGTATTTCAGTCAGTACTACAACTGGCCCCTCATGAGCCAGCTGGTACCCTATACATCACCCAAAATTCCAACAAGTGCCAGATAAGTACCCCCATTCTTGTACACAATGTTCTTTTTCCAGGACACCAACCCAACTGTCCCTACATCTAAGAAGCAACTTT